CAAATTACTAAAGGTAATTTCCCTTATTGACACCATCGTTTTCATTTATTCATTACTGTTGTTTGAAATTTATGACTGTTAGTTAATCATGAACTAAGGCACACATTTCAACTAGCAGGAAATCTAAAATCATGGTATCAGATGGCTCCTAGCCATTCCCTGTATGTCAATAAATACCCACAGAGAACCCCCTTTTCTCTAGCAAATGCCATTCTTTTTATCCCCATTCTTATGGCATGACGGATAAGGGGATGGGGAGAGGTGAAAGAGTTGCCAGGCGAGGAGAGAAGGTTTATCCTATAGGCAGCCAGCATCATTTGAATGTCAGCTTCCAGAATAGCATTTGGTTTCATTCCACTGAAATCCTGGCACCTTTACTTGGGTCATAGAGTCATTTAAGGTCATTTAAACCTATCTCCACCCAGATACGGGTAAGATTCTAAACAGTCGGGAACACAGGAAGCCAGCCAGCCAAGATAATAGATAAGGGGAGAAAAAGGACTAATCTTATGAGCAATTACCTTAGAAGAGCCTTTTACAGCTATAATTCTTTGGTGAACTTCTACTGCCAGGTGGTGAAGCACTGTGATGCTCTTGAATTGAACTTTAGGTTGAAAGATACTTTGAGGAACTCTTGGAGTCCAGCTCTCTCAATTTATGGAGGAGGAAATTTATGAATGAGACAGAGAGTATCATTGCCAGAGTCAAGGTCTTGCAGCTAGTTAAATGAAAGAGTCAGAACCTGAAGCGCCATCTGCTGAATTGCAACCCAGTGATCTTCCTTTATGTCGGCTGAGTACATGTCCTAAATTATTCCTCAATTCATGACACTCCAGCCTTCCTCCAGGAACGCAATTTTGCCCTCATGATGAGCTATCTGTCTGACTCATGATTTTGTTCTCTCAGTAATGTTTCAAATATAATCCAGAACTCTATGTGCCAGGAGCACAAGGAGAGCAGAACAGACCAGGCCCCTGTCCTCCAGGTGACCACAACTGAGCTTTAATTTCTAATTATAGCAATGCCTTCTGGATCCAGCGTTCCCTGCCAGAAATCACTGCTTCTCTCCCTATGAGACTATCTGACTCATGATTTTGTTCTCTCAGTAATGTTTCAAATATAATCCAGAACTCTATGTGCCAGGAGCACAAGGAGAGCAGAACAGACCAGGCCCCTGTCCTCCAGGTGACCACAACTGAGCTTTAATTTCTAATTATAGCAATGCCTTCTGGATCCAGCGTTCCCTGCCAGAAATCACTGCTTCTCTCCCTATGAGAAATGCTTTACTCTCATGTCCATGAAAACATGCCTATTAACATTGACTTGAGAGAAAAAACACAACAAGCCCTAGCCGGTTTGGCTCAGTGGATAGAGCATCGGCCCTGGGACTGAAGGGTCCTGGGTTCGATTCTGGTTAAGAGACGTACCTCGGCTGCAGGCTCAATCTCTGACCCTAGTTAGGGCACCTGCAGAAGGCAACCAATGGATGTGTTTCTCTCAGATCAATGTTTCTCTCTCTCTGTCCCTCCCTCTTCCTTCCACTCTGTAAATCAGCGGTTCTCAACCTGTGGGCCACGACCCCTTTCGGGGTCGAATGACCCTTTCACAGGGGTCGCCTAAGACCATCGGAAAACACACATATAATTACATATTGTTTTTGTGATTAATCACTATGCTTTTATTATGTTCAGTTTGTAACAATGAAATTGGGGGTCACCACAACATGAGGAACTGTATTAAAGGGTCATGGCATTAGGAAGGTTGAGAACCACTGCTCTAAATCAATGGAAAAATATCCTCAGGCGAGGATTTAAAAACACACACACACACACACACACACACACACACACACAGCAAAATGAGAGATGCAGCTCTTAAAGAGAAAACCACAGGCCCAAATGGAGTCCCTTCTGCCAAAGCCCATGACAGCAAACCTAGACTTAATACCTAACTAATTGCATAACCTTCTCCGGGAATGCGGTATTAATGGTTCAGTCTGGAATTCTATGGTCAGTACCAATGAAGCAATCTATCACATGGAGCCTCTCTATCCCTTCCAAAAGAAACTGAGGCAGTCTGCCTGACAAGATCCCACCTCAAAAAAAGGTACCCTTGCCTGAAATAATCCTTGCTTTTCTTTTGCTAATAACCATTTTGTCTCGCCCAGTTTCTGCCTATAAAAACTTTCCATATTGTACAAATTTTCAGGGCTTCTCTTTACTTGCTGGATGGGATGCTACCTGATTCATGAACCACTCAATACAGTCAATTACATCTTCAAATTTCCTCAGTTGAATTTTGTTCTTTAACACAGCCTAGAGTGGTTATTGCATCTAAAGAGAGTGAAGTGCTCTTGAAATTGAGTCAAGAAGCTCCGCCTCCCCCCGCCCCCCAAAAAAGAGAAGCTTCCCAGCTGCAGTGAGGACTGAATTTCAAGTCTCCCTACAGTGCTTTCCTGAAATTGATTCCACAGAACTGCAGTTGGAGGGGGCCTGTGTTTTTCACAATTACTGTGAATGCCCCTTGTCCAAAGAGGTGCTGGCTTACATCAAATCTTTAAAGTTTAAAGGGTGTAGTCAATATTAACCTAAATGAGTCCCTAAAAAACTGTGGTTATAACAGGGCATCTAAGAGGTTTAGCAAAAAGAAGATATGAAGCTGGTAATGAATTTATGTAACCACCAAAGGAAAAACACACACAACACACACACACACACACACACACACACACACACACACACACAACACTCCATAAACCTAGCAGTTTAGAGGAGACTTAATCTGACCTAAATTTAAGAAGATTCATCTCAAATTGACAAAGGAGGATTAAATCGCTCATTATTTTATGAGGTGATATAACCATTTGCACGCCTCATTGGCTTCTGAGATCTTTTCTCAATTTGGAATCATTGTGATGTTTGACAGCCTGTGGCATAAAAAGTTTTCCCAACACCCCCATTGCTATGTTTTCAAATAGGAATAAAGGAAACGCAACCAACCAGTCCTGTCAGCAATGATTCTCTGTGAATAGGAAATCCAAAATGATGTTTGACAGCATGTTGGCATAAAAAGTTTTCCTAACACCCCCATTGTTATGTTTTCAAATAGGAATAAAGGAAATGCAACCAACCAGCCCTGTCAGCAATGATTCTCTGTGAATAGGAAATCCAAATTTGTGAGTTCCCATTTCCTTTGGAAATATGATTCAGTGTTCCTGATGCTGAAAATAGATTTCTGTGGTAACTATCTTTTATAAAGATTTCAATCCAGGGTGAAGATAGTGGAGAGATTATGTCAAGTAAAATTTAGCATATTCTAATCAAAGCTTTGTCAGTGGACGAGATTTTTTCGATTTATCTCTTACGTGCAGGGTACACAGCAGGTATAGAATACGTTATTTTTACTATCAAGAAGCAAAATTAGGGGGATAAAATTTTAAGAGCGGAAGATTATGGGGACCACTACATAGTAACAAAATGTCTAACTCCATGTTTTCTAAGATGTATTTGGGGAAGTAGCTGTTGAAGTGGCACAGAAATCTACCATGTCCTTTAGCCCACTTTGGAGCGAAGGTTGGATGTCTATTTTTCACAATACCTGGTTTTTGTTTGGGAATATAAAATGAAGGGTAATAAGGCAAAAACACTTTCTTTCTTTCTTTTTTTAAAAAGGTGAACCCAGTAAAGAACAAAGATAAAGGCTTACCCACATAACATATGTTTGACCCGCTGGCCAGGGTGGGAATGAGCCATGAGGGGACCATGGAGAAAGAGCCATCACAGGAGGTTTACAGAATGACAACAGTGTCTCCACACACTCTTCTCCTTTTAAAATTACCCTTGTACCAATTGCGAAATATCCCAAAGTAAGTTTAGACATTGGGACAAGAGAGACATCATTGAATCCTAAAATGGGTGCTTAGGAAAGTCCATGTGATTTGACAGCCTAACTGGTGTCCAAGCTCGAACATTTTCATTGACCGTCACCAGAAATCTCCTGGCTTTCACTAAGCTTCTCTCTGTATCCTTTGGCACATACTGTGGACTAATGACCTGAATACTTGACACAAAAATCCCCATAAAACATTATGCTCTAGTAACTTCCTAGTTAAATTTTTATTTCATTTTATCTACTGGGGCCAAGGTACAGTTTTGACATTGGGTTGTGAAAAGTCTATATTTTATAAAATATCAGGGGCGATTTTTAACATAATAATACACCCATAACTTGTGGCAGATTTGTAAACGTATCAAATGGGCAGAAAACAGAGGCAGATAGTGGTTCTTATAATGACATAAAAGCAAATAACTGTTTCCCTGAGATATAAAGTGCTTTTTTTTAAGTTCCCTCTTTAAAATACATACACTTGTAATAGAATTTCTAATATGCATAGCCATGAAAACTTGCCTACATATTTTAAAAATAAAACCAAGTAACAAAAAGGTAAAGCTCATGGCCCTTGTCCTTCACTTAGCTACTTTTAAATTCTTCTTGTTCTGCTATTTTATCACTAAACATGGAAAACCCTCTGAAAACAGAACTCTTTTCTCACTTCACACTGTTTGTCTTGTCATATGCTTCTATCATGTTGAATATATATGTGCATATACATACATATGTATGTTTTTTCATGTTCAGGTGGCCCGAGAAAGCATAGGATAAATACGATTTATTATATGAATGATTCCTCCACAAGACACATTGAAACTAGCTTTTAAAACAAGCCAGTCACTTCACCCTTTCCTATGAGTCTATCCTTTGCACTAGGTATTTCTAAAAGATCCAGAAAGTCATTCTTAACTTTTCTTTGCCATATACAATACATGATTTAATTCTTTCAGCCAACATTCCTATACCCCATCCGTCTTGGGCAAATCATGGCACTTTAATGAAGCACTCAGTCTGTACAGAGTTAACAGCTGACTGTATACAGCTAGTTCAGTATAGTGAAGAGAAAAGTGACATTGTACTTCAACCGCAAACAACGTTATTATATTTACCTTGTACTTGGAAGATAGTAAAGTGCGGCCGGCACTGGAAAGAACCCAACGCGTTACCTGCGCAGTTCATCCACAGCCCCTGGTAAACCCAAGTGGCGGTTATCACCGATGATGCTCGGGTGGTTACTCTCCACTCATTGGACGTGGTGGCAGCAACGAGAGCTCCAAACCCACCAACACCACATACCAGAGCTGAGATCTGTGCCCTGAACATGTCGCTCAGGCTACTCCGGTGACACTGTCCAGACAGAACACTGGTGGTCTAGGCATGCAGCGGACAGAAAGCACTGGGACAAGTGTTACAGCAAGTTAGTAACAGAAACCTACCACCGTATGTCATACTTGGGTGGCCCGAGCAAGTACCAGAATTTAGGATAAAGTCTGATTTACTGATGGCACTTTAAAGATAGCCTTAAGATGATCTTTCTAATTTGCTACATGGATATTTTACTAAGATTTTGTAGATAGATTTTAAAGGTTTTGATTTCACAGATTTTTATTTCCTGGCACCATAGTTAATGCTTAATTTTCTGTTATCCTGAAGCTTAACGAACCATGCAACTACCAGATATTACAAAGTACAAATTATACAGTAACAGTTAAGCCTTTTTTGACCAACTGCTGTAGTCTTATATGCTTCTGAATCTTTATGTAAATGGAATCATTGCGGGTATTCTCCTGTAACCTATCTTTTCCATACAATATCATGTTTGTGCGACGTATCTCTGTTTGGGAATATAACTATTGGTCATTAAATACTAGTATAACCGCCGCATATAATATCTTACTAAGTGAATCTATTACAATTTATCCATTTTCCTGGAGATAAACCTTTATGTTACACGCCCCCCCCCCATAGCAATTGATACAGCTATAAACATTCTCATAAGTTTCTCCTTGTGTATATATACAAGAGTTTCTCTAACGTATGTCCTAGAAACAGAATTGCTAGGATGTAGGGAATACCTTCAACTTTATAGATCATCCTAAACTGCTTTACTAAGTAGTCATAAGAGTTTACCTCCCGCCCTGATCGGTTTGGCTCAGTGGATAGAGCGTCGGCCTGGGGACTGAAGGGTCCCGGGTTCGATTCCGGTCAAGGGCATGTACCTTGGTTGTCCCTCTCCCTTCCTCTCTGTAAAAAATCAATAAAATATATTTTTTTTAAAAAAAAGAGTTTACCTCTCACTATCCATGGGTGAGTCCTCATTTCCCCATGCCACAGTACTTGGTACTGTGGTGTCGTCAGAATTTTTTTTTTTTTTGCCACTTTGATCCTATAAGTATCCCGTTATGATTATTGACTTGTATTTTTCTGATGATTAATGAGGTTGAGCATCTTTTCATGTGTTAATTGGCTCATTGTGTTTTTGCCTACAAAGACATTTGAAGCGTTTGCTCATTTTATCCATTGAGTTGCTTGACTTTTTATAATTTGAATGAGTCATCTATGCATTCTTGAGAGTAATCATTTGTTGATTATATATGTTGCAAATATTTTCCCCTACCTTGTGGTTTGTCTTTATGTAGCCATTTGATAAAGTGTCTTAGTTTTAATGTAGTCAAATTTATCAAGCTTTTACCAACTAATTTGTGCTTTTGGGATCTAGATTAAGAAATTATCCCTCAGATATAAAAAATACATTGCCCTTTACTCCTACTTCAAGGTTTTAGCTTAAATTATAAATCATCCAGAATTATTTTGTTGTGTGTTTTATGATTTGGTATCTATTTCATTTTTTAATATGGGAACCCAATTTTTAAAATCATTACTGAATATCCCTTGTCTCCCTATTAATCTGCAATGTTACCTCTGTCATATCAGGTATCAATATTTGCATGGTCTGTTTTTGGATTCTCTCCTCTGCTCTATCTACCTGCTTCTCTGTTCTCATGCCAATACAAACTTCTTAATTACTCTAATTTTATAAATATATCTTGAGATCTTGTTGGTGTCTCTTACCATGTTCTTGTTTTTTCAAGTGTCTGGGAAATTTTTTAAAGCTATTTGCTGCTCTTTATATATTTTAGAACTAGAGTCCCGGTGCATGGATTTGTGCACCGGTGGGTCCCTTTGCCTGGTCTGTGCCCTCTTGCAATCTGGGACCCCTCGGGCGATGTTGGAGAGCCAGTTTCAGCCCAATCCCCGCAGGCCAGGCCGAGAGACCCCAGCGGTGTACGATCGGGGCCAGGGAGGGACCTGGGAGGGCTCCAGGAAGTGTCTGGCCCATCTTGCCCAGTCCTGATCAGCTGGACCCCAACAGCAAGCTAACCTACCGGTCAGAGTGTCTGCCCTATGGTGGTCAGTGCACGTCATTGCAGCTGGTCAAACGGTTGAACGAACAGTCGGACACTTAGCATATTAGGTTTTTATTATATAGGATAAGCTTATAATGTTACACACATGCATATTTATTGGGATGTTTGTTGGAATTGTATCTATTGATCAATTTGGAGAAAGTGAATAACTTTATAAAATTAAGTCTTCTTGTTCATGAGAATCATATATCTCTTCATTATTTAACCATTTTTAATGTTTTTCACTAAAGTTATATACTTTAATACATAAAGGTCTTGTTACGTTTTTGTTAGATTTATTCTTAAATATACGACTTATTCTAACATCTATTTTATCTAACATATCATTTCCCTCATTTTTTTTATATGTAGTTTTTCTATTCTTAAATTTCTCTGAGTTGAGTATTTTTCGCATTCCAATTTTTCACTCTACTAAATTGGAAGTTATACATTATTTGTATTGCTTAATGATTGTTCTAAAATTTTTAATGTATATTTGACTTATATAAAATTAATCATTGTCTTTACTCCCCAAATAATACAAGAACCTTTTAACATTAATAACTTTTCTTCTGCTCTATGTTATTATGTTATTTCTGTTGTTTGATTTTTTTAGCCCACAAATTGGATTTTTAGCTCCACAAATGTTAGCTCCCACACTTATTATTATTACTATACAATGTAATCATTTACTTTTTTTGTTTTGCTTTTCCATTTTGTGTCTCAAACCTTCCTTGTGAGTTTTTCTTCTTCTTAAAGTCTATCCTTGAGAAGTTTCTTTTACAAAAAAATCCTCACCCGATGATATTTTTATTGATTTGAGAGAGAGAGAGAAAGGGAGGGGGAGAGAGAGAAACATCAATGTGTGAAAGAAATGTCAGTTGGTTACCTGTATGTGACCTGACCCAGGATCCAATCCAAAACATAGGTTTGTGCCCTGACCGGAAATTGAACCCGGTACCTTTGGTGTACTGGATGACGCTCAACCAACTGAGCCACCCAGTCAGATACAGAAGTTTCTTAAGTGAGGGACTGATGGTAGTTATCTCTCTTCGTTTTTGTTTTTCAGATAATATATTTATTCTGTGCTTGCTTTTGGTGGATACTTTTGGTAGGTATTCAGTTATAAGTAGACAATTACTTTGGCTGTATAATTTCATTTTTATCTGACTTCCTTTGTTGCCACTGAGAAATCAAGAGTCTGATTTGCCATTTCTTTTTAGATTAATCTGTGTTTTCTCTTTGGCTGGTTTTAAGATTCTTTTTTGTCCCCGTTTTGGCAATTTCACTGTGCTTTTCTAAGTGTGGATTTTTATTTTTATTTGTACTCTTTTTTTGGATTTACTGGAATTCTTAAAACGGATGATTCATAGCTATCATCACTTTCAAGAAACTATTAGTTCCCTCCTTTCCATATCTTACCCCTGTCCCTATCCTTTCTTTATCTCCTGTAACTCTGATAAGATCAATTTTTAGTTTGTCCTGTGTCTCAACCTTTCTTTGCTATTTTTTATCTCTTAATCTCTCCTTGCTGCATTGTTGGAATTTTTTCAGCTGTGGGCTACAATTTATTAATTTTCTCCCCAGTTATGTGCAGTCTGCTATTAACCCATCCAGAGTTCCCAACTTCTATTACTATCCTTTTTAATTTCTATAGGTGACAGTTCTTTTCAAATCTGCTTTCTTCCTGTTTTCTAATCTCTTGTTCGTTAGGCATAACTCAAATGCCCATTTTATTTTTTAATATGTTTTTATTGATTTCAGAGAGGAAGGGAGAGAGGATAGCGAGATACATCAATGATGAGAGAGAATCATTGATCGGCTACCTCCTGCATGCCCCCTACTGGGGATCAAGCCCATAACCTAAACATGTGCCCTTGACAGGGAATCAAACCTGACCTCCTGGTTCATAGGTGAACACTCAACCAACTGAATCACACCTGCCAGGGCAGCCTGTTTTATTTTTTAAGTATTTTTTTAGTTTTGTTTTCTGTATCTCATTATTCTCTGATCTGTAGCATTTGCAGGTTGAATTGATCTTTTTATCCCTACTGACTCTCACTCGTCGGGGGGCAGGGGGGCGTTTAAAACGTGGTTATGTGTTCATGCTCCTTGAAACTTTCTTTGTGAATGTTTTGTGGCCTGAGTTGAATAGGTGTTCCACCAGGTAGAATTTATATTTACTTCTGCCTGTTGTTTAAGAGACCTATCAACCCAGGAAAATGTTTAAACTCTCAGCCTTTTCTAGACATTCAGTTCATATGAATTCTGGCCCTACACCTGGATCAATGTCAGCTTGAGGTTAGGGATTCTCAGTGACTTCCTTTTGTCCTTCCATTCAAATCCAAGCTTTGGATGAAACATTGCTTTACCATTACCCAGGGGGATAGTGATGATGGTGGAGGTGGTGAAGCAGCACTTTTTAATTTTTCCCAGGGCAATCATTGATTTGAGATGGCAACTACTTTTTGCAGGATTCTGTGATCCAGCCTAAAATCTGCCCATGGCCCACTGAGAATTAAGCTCTACATGACCCGGGATCCTTGAGGGAGTCACTGGCATCCGAGCTGGCTTACCCTTCTATGCTTGTGCTTTCTCCTTTTGAGCCTCAAAAGATTTCCTTACTTTCTTACCAGCTTGGGTACACATTAAAAACATTTTTTTCCCATTTTTTCTTTGCTAAGCCCTTCACCCTTCTCACCCAGCCCCCAACTCCCTCCCCTCCTGCCGTTGTCAGTCTGTTCTCTGTATCCATGAGTCTGTCTCCACTTTGTTAGTTTATTTTGTTCATTAGATTCCACATGTAAGTGAAATCATATGGTACTTGTCTTCCTCTGATTGGCTTATATCACTTAGCATAATGCTCTCCAGATACATCCAGGTGTCACAAAAAGTAAGATTTCCTTCTTTTTTACAGCTGAATAGTATTTCATTGTGTAAATAAATGTACCATAGCTTTTTTATCTATTCATCTACTAATGGGCACTTGGGCTGCTTCCAAATCTTGGCTATTGTAAATAATGCTGTAATGAACATTGGGTGAGTTGTATGCCTGAAACCTATATAATTTTAGAAAAAAAACCTATATAATTTTATAAAACAATGTCACCCCAAGAAATTCAATTGAAAGCCAAAAATATTTTTTTCAAATATTGTT